CGCAGGGCTGCAGAAAACGGTAGCAAAACCACTAAACATGAACTCAGATGAGCTGGATTACAGTTATTTACTCAAATCCACATGAAAGAATGTAGACTTAGACGTGCATATGAGATATGCAATCATTATATTGATTATGGAGGATAAATGATGTACAATGCAACTCTTCTTAAATTTTGTGATGAGCTATATTATTTTTTACATTTTGTTTCCTTAAAGTGAAATACCTAAATTTTAGCAGACCTAAAGTTTAAAATAAAATCCTTAATTTACAGTCTGTTTAATGGTGAAACCAGCAAAGCACTTTGCGACTCATGAATGTGTCGCTTACACTATAACACATTCGGAGAGATTTGACAGAGTAAAATAATAGGAAATGAGCTCACAGTTTTTGATGACCCCTGAGTCATTTTTGCTTCATTTGTTTAGTGATTAAACTCCCTTTGTTTAAATCAAAATGATAAAATAACAAAATTTCAACCTGGAGAGAATCACACAGAGAAAGCTGTAATTAGAAAAGTATTATGCAATTTACTAATACAGGTGACACAATCATATTCATAAAAATATTCCAATCTAAGCAAAAACCAGCTGATTGCATTGACTCATTGACTCTCTTCAATCCCGCAGTGGAGATGAAAACCTCCTTTTAACAGGAAGAAACCTCCAGCAGAACCAGGCTTAGTGTTAGTGGGCATCTTGTCGAGAGCAACTAGGATTCAATGAGATGGAAGCAGATAATGATATAAACGAAATAAGTTATTTTGAGCTCGGGCCCCGGCGAAAGATTTTGATACTGTGAATCAACATTTGCTTCGATGAGTAATCTAGAAAAATATTAGAGTAGTCTTCCCCCGTTGCCCGAACAGTGGTTATGAAGTAAACCAGAGGAACTGTGACTAGTCTGAGAGTGAGAGAGACGGTGGGTTGGAGGTGGGTGAAGGTTCACTTGTGTGAGGGAGAAAGAAGCTGGGCCAGAAGCTAAATGAGGAGGATCTTGAAAGGTGATTGGCTTCAGAGAAGATGCAGCTCCAAGCTGATTGGCTTGAGCTGAACAGAGGATATCGCAGGTGGTTCAGGTGAAACTGATGAGAGTCTTCCAGATTGAAATCAAGCTTAAGCTCCATTTAGCCAAACTAAAAGTATTTCAGTTTAATATCTGCTTTTGCAATCTCACCTTTTGGTCTATTGTTCTTACAGTCAATGATTAGAATACGTTTTGTTTAATTTCAGGCACCGGTCTGACTCTGGAAGGAGCGCTGCCTTCAGATCAGGACTGCCAACCAAAACCAGCAAAGAGGGCACGGACCTCGTTCACGGCCGAGCAGCTGCAGGTATGTCCCTGTCTTCATGGATGACAGTGTTGCAGAGGGAGCTTTTCCCCTTCACTTTCACTGCATTCATGCTCAATGTGAGGGATTGCTGCTAGTCAATAACACAATGCAGCAAGTGTCTTCTGTCACTACGAACTAATCCAGGAGGAGTGGATCCTGCAAAGTCAATGCCTCAATGCAATAAGCTTGATAACCTTTAACAAATCTGTCTGCAATATTTGATTGAACTGTCTTTGGGAAGGGCCTTGAAATGGCATGTTATAAATATAAACTATATAAATAAACTGAATTGAACTGAGTTGCAGCTGCTTGTTAAACAGCAAGAGTTGTATTTTTTTTATATCAGTGCTGTATCTCTCTCCTGCAGGTCATGCAGACTCAGTTTGCCCAAGACAACAACCCTGATGCTCAGACACTGCAGAAACTGGCAGAAATGACGGGACTTAGCAGAAGAGTCATTCAGGCAGGTGTTGAAATCATTTCTCTGAGAATCTTGTTTGCAAACAAAAGACAACAAAACAAATGAAAACTTTTCCTGCTACTGTAAAAAAAAAAAAATACAGCTGCATGTCAGTAAGGAGAATATCATCAGAAAAGATAGATTCATTACACAAATTCTTGTTTCTGTTCAATAGATGGCTTAAAACTGATGAAAAAAAGCTGCTTATAGTAAAGAACTGTGATGTAATGGTCTCTTAAGAGAGGGTGTTGAGCAGATTATTTCCATAAACAGGGTAAGCCATAGAAGTTTGTCTTATAAGAAGTAGGTGAAATGAAATGATGATGCGCAGCAGAATAGGCAACTGGAATATCAGAATTTTTAAAAGGATTGTTAAGAAGATCTATTAAAAAACTGAGAACAAAAGCGTCGTATACAATCTGAAAAAAGGATCAGTTTATCTGTCTATGCCACTAGTCTTCTATTTGTAAGACCATATTTATTGAGTAGAATATAATAGAAATAGAATAGAAAATCCCTTTATTTTCCCATAACTGGGAAATTCGGGTGTTTTCAGCAGCAAAAAGATTATAGAAAAAAATTGTCACAGAAATATGGAGCCTAGAAAAATGTATAAGAATAACATAACAGTGAAGAGTTAAAAGATAAACAATAAATTACTGTACTGCAAAGTGTTTTAACAATATAGCTTAATGTTAGTAGTGCAGGACTAGTACTCAATGGATTTTAAACAGCTATTTAAAGCAGCCAACACCAAACTAGTGCAGAGTGGCTGGTGGTTATGTGCTGAGAAAAGAATGAAGAGGTCAAATTTGAAGAAGCACATTATATTATTAAGTTTTCATTTATTTATTTTTTTATCAGCAGTGCATAAAGTTGCTTCTTCTTTTTCACTTACAGGGGGAAATGATGAAATGCGATAAACCTTCGGTTGCATTATGGCACAGTGACGATAAAGGGATTTTCTTCACACCTTTTCAGTCACTATGTGCTGTTTTTGTTGTTGTTGTCTTTTCCATAAGTTGCCCCAAGTTCTTTTTATTTTTGTTCAACTTTTTAAGCCTTTGGGTCCATTAAAAGAAAATTGTGGACATTCCTTTACCTTTTACTTTTCAACCACATGCTTTATGTGTTTAGTAGGTCTCCTACTAGCTTGTGAAAGTTTCTTTGCCTTCCCCAATAGTTGGATAAAGGCTCTTAAATTAAAGCTTTTGTATTTTCATATTAGATCAAAATAGTTGCGTCCATAGTGGTTAATGTTGTAGATATTCTTAAATTAAGTGACTTTCTTTATAAGAACAACGATTCCTGCTGTTTTGCTCTATTTTATAGATATAGATATATATCTCTTTATTTTATAGATATATTGTAGTTTTGGTTTATTTATTAATTGCACATCAAAAGCTAGATAACAATGTCAAGGTTAACAGTGATTGTTGTCCGACTCCCACATGTTTGTTAACCTTTTCTGCATTCTTCTCCAGGTTTGGTTTCAGAACTGCCGCGCCCGACACAAAAAGCAGCCCCCTCAGAGCAGCTTCCCTCAGAACGCTCCACTGGCCAGGATGCCGCCGTCGCTTCCAGAAGATCTCCACTATTCCTCCTTCAGCAGCCCGGACCGACCTCACCTCCTGGCTCTGCACGGATACCTGGATGGTGAGTGTCAGGCTTTTATTGTGTTAGATGTTTTTAATGAAAATGATTTTTATAATAACCAGATGACATCTTTAAGTTGAAATGTTTTCAGTGTTTGACCTGAAACTCATACGCTTTTTAAGCGCAGCAGATTTTGAAGAATTTCTAAGTGGTTTATTTATTCACCTCACTTCCCTGTTTTTTCTGTTAGCTGCAACTATATTTACAGATGAATTTTGTGAATATTTTACATCACAGACACTTGAAAACAGTGTGATTATGCAGCTTTTGCAACAAACCTTTAAAAGAAATGGTGGAATCTTATTCAGGTATCAAGGAACACAAGAACTAGACCAGGTTTAGAAGTTAATAGCATATTTACTACTTTTGCCCATTATGATATAAAACAAAGGACTAAAATCTATTACTTTTGAAGTGGTATTTTTAAGCCAAAAAAACTACTATTAAATCCACTCTAGTTGGTTAAACCAATTTGGTTAGATGAACCAATTTAATAATCAGAAAGTGTTGAAGCCTTTGGTTTCAGATCAAGAAATTTAATAGATTAACCAACAACCAATACAGTAGAAATGGTAGCTGATGTGGTAACTTACCACTCTGACTGTTTGGCTGTAGTCAAGTATAATGTGTAATAGTTATGGACCTAGAGAGTAATTACAAAGATGTGGACCTGTACAGAATGCACATTTCTGTTTTAGCCTTGGTTATGACATTTGTATTAACTATTAGTGGATTCCAAGAAGTATTAGTTATGGCAGGAGTTTCCTCTGCAATCAAACGGTTATTGGTTCAATCTCTGGCTTTCAAAGTTGTTACGCTAATTATCCAATATTTTGATCAAATTAACCAATTTGTATTTGTTTGCCCTTTTACCAATGTAGAGCGCTTCCCACTTAGATTGGTTATTTTAGCCAAAAGGTTTGTTGGACATGTAACTACCGACAAGATCAGTAAAATTTAACAAATTTTTTGGTTGAAACGACTGATCTGTTTTTAGGGTATATAGATACCTAAAAATCATATCAAACTTTGCAATTGGTCTGAAGTGTGTTTGATTAGTCTCAAAAGTGTTATTTTTAACAAGATAATGGATGACAGATAAGCTTTAACAGGGTGAATGTTTGAGTGAAGTCATTTTAAGCTTTTGCATTCAATTTGATCTCTCATTTCCTTTGAGGGATAAAATGTAAAGAACCCTGCACAAAATCATGGGCTCCACTGGTAAAGATCTGAATAGAATAAATTACTTTTTAGGAGATTAAGCAATCTTTAAAAGCTGTTATTGAATGCAATCCTAACAGTGGTCTGTAAAGATTTTTAAACATGGTTACATTATATGAAGTGAATATATATTGTCATGGCATTATCAGGCTTCGCAATACTTCTATCTCAAAGGGTTGCTTGGAGTGCGATAATTGCTTCTATCCGTTCCAAATGTTAGGATCTCACATTTTACATTTTAGCCTGTTTGATTTGGAACAGTGGCTTAGAGAAATTGGCTTCTGTGTACTTGATCATATGTATATGATATAATTAATTTTCTAATTTGAACATTTTGTCTTGGTCTAAAAAATGTTGTTTGGCAAGTAATAAATAGGAGAGAAATATTAGAATATTATTGTCATCACAACGCACACTACTGCACTGATGACATGTATTTTACCAAATACACGTGGTAAAGGTTTGATGAAGGACATCACACATTAATTTATTAGTGTTTTTAGTTTGCAGTTAACGGCTCTGAACTATTTGCAAGAAAGCTGAGATTCAGTGTAGAGAATATGAAGCGAAACTGATGACTATTTATTCATAATTTTGCCTTAACACATGATTACATAGATCTACAGGTATGAGTGTGGCAGATATCTCTTTAACTTCCATGGCAGGTATAGAAGTGGTATTTATTATTTTTGCTCACATTTAATTAATTATTAAACAGCAAACTGTAAAAATATAACATATCACAGAAGTGATACCCTATTAGTACGGCCACGTTAATGTATATCACAAAATATATCTGTAGTTGTACTTTAACTATAGGAAATTGTTAAATATCTATACATTTTTTTTCTAAACTATTTTTTTTTTATTCCACTACAGAGAGTTGTAGGTGGTTTTAAAAGAAAGAGGTCTGGGAAATAGTGGCATTAAAATAAAAAAACTAAAAATGTATTTTAATTATTTTTTACCAGGTGTGCCTATAAATGAAGGCAGTATGATTTTAGAAAGGAGGAAAAAAGATGAAACCCAGCCAAAAAAAAGTTTTACAAGTGATGAATGCAGATCCAAGGTGTAGCTTTTAAAAAAATGCCAGCAAATTAATTAATTAATTCCTCAGTAGATAGAAACCTTTAGCAGCATGAGGTTAATCAAACAATCCTTAATTTAGTATTGTTGTATATTATGTTTTGGAGAATTTGTTTTTAGGCAGACTAAAAACTAACTACATTAATTTCTTAGATTGGAAGTTTCTATTGTGATTTCTCCTTTCTATGGCACATGTTGGAGATTATTTTGTTTTTATCTGACATTACAGACGCTCTGCTGTGGAGTAGTATGATTTTATTGTTGTCATATTATGGTAACAAAAAGAGTGTTACTGTTTCCTGTTGAACAGACTGTTGAAAATATGCTATTAGTTTTGTGTGGGTTACAAACCTTTTGTTCCAAATGGGCTCTAAATCTGTAAAGTGGGTTTAGCTGCTAGAGGAGCTCTTCAGCCTTCATAAGGAAGTGGAACTGAATACAGTGTTGTGTTTTCTTTTGCAGCTCACCCCTTTTCCGTCCTCGCCGGCCCTGGACACTTGACTCATCCGTCCATTTCTTTGCCGCAGCTTCCAATCAGCCGCTGACCTGCAGAATCCTCCTCTGTGTTTTCACCACTGATGACATGGAAAGCTATTCCTGTCTGCAGCCCTTAGGCAGAGCAGGGACGTTCATTTTCTGTTCGATTATTCCTTTTGAGCTGGACTGTGGTGACGCTTTCAAGCAAACAGAGGACACTTTTTTTTTTCTTTATTCTAAATGAAGCACAGAATACTTTTATTTTATTTTATTTCCCCTCTCAGAGGACAGAAGCTCTCTCATTCTTCCAGTTAGTGCTTGTGGCTTCAAATGGCAGAGCCTGGTAGCAGTATGCCCGAGAAGCTTTTCCTTTTTCATTATGAGCACATTTGCAGCTTTAATGTTGTTTGTTGTTGTACTGTTGTCAGGAGAAAAAAATCTCTTATTTATTCAGATAAAAACTTGTTTTCAAAGCACTTTTAAATGTGTCATTACATGGAAAAATTCTGTATTTGTACATTGTAAATAAATTGCATCAAATCTGTCATCAGGTTTATTTACATTGTAGAAACAATCTAGAAATAAGTAAAACATTTTTAAATTGAGCATATTAACCTTAATTTGCATAGGAAAATAAGATGATCTACCAATGGAATGAGGATTTTCACTCTTAAAATAAGATGGTTAGATAATATGTACTTGAAATAAGACAATGCAATATTTTTTTTCTTATTTTAAATGTAAATTGTCTTGTTCCAATTGGAAAAGTGTCTCAATTACCTCCCCAATTCAAGAAAAAATGCACTCTTTTAAGAAAAAATGACTTATTTAGATTACATTTTTTTCTAGTGTAATGAGCGTTTTCATCTCTGCGGGTGTTGCAGGTGATGTTAACAAAAAAGAGAAAATATAGTCGGATTTTACTGGGAAACCCTTTCTATCCCCTGCTGCCATAAATCTAAAGGTCACCTTTCAGAGGTCAAGTTCCTGCTGGAACGTGTTATTCAGAGCAATATCCGGGCCATCCAGTATAACAACCTGTCGCAGGAAAATATGATCAATCCTGCTGTGAAAACGATTAGATACAAATTCACTTAAAGTGTGGCCATCGATTTGGTTTTTCTTCAGGCCTTTATGACCTCCTTTTAGATGTATTATCTACCACTGCTGCATTGATTGCGAGCACTTAAGAGGCTGGGATGTGAAGAAGTTTAAGGATTTCTCAAGATGGATCAACATGTCTCTCTTCCTATTTAGTCGTTAAAAAAATGGCAGAGACTGAAGCAATGTTTAAAAAACCCCAGCTCTTTATTAAATACCAGGTAGCTCATAAAAGGGAACATTTATTCATTTTAATATTGTTTACTTATACTTTACTAGGGAAATAAAAGGTAAAGAAGAAAAGCCTGCCCAAGGTATAAGTGAACATAACAGCTGCTTTCGACTCCCCAAATAAAAAGGTATGAACCATACCTGCAACAATGAGTGAGGATCTGAAATGTATTTATGTTTTTTCTACATCAGTAGTAATTTTGCAAAACAAATTGAGTTTTAAAATACTGTTGGAAATTATCAAGATGGACAAATCTAAAGATTTTCTAAATGTATAAGTTCAAACACAACAACAAAAGGGGCTAGCTGCTCTATGCTGTATTTGTTTGCTGGGTTATTTTTGCTTGTTTGTTTCTTTCTTTCCTTAATACAGGTGCCTGAACTGAAGAAAGGAAATCAAACTACTTAGAAATTAAATAAACATCAAATAAACAATCCTCAGCTTTCCCACACACTGGAGTATTTTCCTGATATTATTGCTTTTTTTTAAGGTTCATAATATTCTTCACTTGTCATTTTCTATCTTAATTTATTTTCAATTTATAAATGCTAGCAGCTTTATTAGACGAACAATGCAAAAGTATTTAAAGTAGAAAGGTATCTTATTGGAGCTCTAGTCCTCTACTCTTTGGGCCCAACACCAATTAGCATCGGGTCTTTTTCTAATGATTGCTTAGAGGTTTTCCAGTCAGATTCAAGGTGAAAAGGGATTGTTACTTCTCATAAAACAATGAGCTGCAGATTAAAATAGGACTGTGAGCAACACTTAGACATCTGTTTCCTACTTTTATTTTTTTGTGTTTTGGTTAACTTTTTTCTTGGAATAAATCCCAAAGTCAAGCGTTGTCAAGTCGTTGAGATATATGAAAGTCAGAGCTTTATTTTCAGTTTCCTTCATGCTTAAGGCTTGGGTTAAATGATTTGTCTTCTGATCAGGTGTGTTTTGGTTTCTGAATGCTATTAAGAAAAGAAACAAGATCCAATTCTTCCTTGACTTTCAGCTTTGAATAAACTGTCTTAAAATCGCTCTCTTTCAATCAATTCAATCCAGGAAGAAACCTGTGCTGGAAAATGACTCGGCTCCTTGTGAAATCCTGAAACAAAAGCAGTCTTCCTGCTGAGCAGGAATGATTATCAGACTGACACACTTTGGGCCATCTGCCAGCACTACAATGTAAAAATTTCTTCCCCGCTCAAATATGAGAGCCTAAGGGAGCATTCATGCACGTCTCGTTCCATGCATGTACATCCCTGAGCATTTAAGCCGTCGCGCTTTGTCATCCTAACATGCATCCGCCCCCTCTGTGACTGGCAGCTTCAAGTGGTTGCAGATGAAACATGCCCCCCCACCCCCTCGCCATGTTAATGAATAGGCCCCTGATTGCAGGATTACAGCGTCGGCTGTCTAATGAGCAGATACGCTACAGTGCCCCTCTTCTCCACATATTAACATTTTTTCTCCTTCAAACTGATGAGCTCTTCCCTGCACAACAGTCAACAAAACCTTTGTGAAAGACTGCAGCATGAGCCATCTTCATCAGCCTCCTCCTCCTCCTCATCTTAGTTCATTTCATATGCTCTTGTGGGTGCAGGAGGAATATTCTAATTTTTACAGCTTTCTTGTCTTGAATTTATCATTGAACTGAACTGAAGATGGGGAGCAAAGTGTCTGAAAGGATGTTGAGGATGATTAGGACTCGATTTAAACGATTAAATAATAGAAGCGGGGAGATAAATGTTGGAATTCAGCTCGCTCAATGAAGGCTGAAAGCTTTTTAGAACAACAGGACAAAAAAGGCTGCTCAGGGACAGTGTGGAATTTATAAAGACCCATTTTTTAAAACTGCATACATTTTTTTTTACTTGTGTGTAGTTTCCTGAAGATCCAGAAATCCAGCATCAAAACAAAGAACAGCATCGTGGCCTTGATGGAAAAACTCAAAAGAGGCATTTAAAAAGCTGCTGTTGAATCTGATATCCATCTGTGACAATTATAAAATACACCTGAACTTTTAGTGAGACTAAATAGCAGCAAAGAATTAAATCTTCTTCTTTTTTATTATCACAGATAATTTATTCTAATAGAGCAGGGGTCTGAGCCCGAGTGGCTCTTTAAACCCTCAACTGAGACTGTAATTATTTTGATTAAGAATAGCAAACAATATAAACCAGTGTTTCAAAATGGAAATAAATATATCTATATTTTAACGTACACTGCATGAAAAGTGGGATTTTCGTCAATATACGGCACTGTAGATTGTCGTG